ATATATATATATATATATATATATATATATATATATATATATATATATGTATATATATATATATATATATATATATATATATATATATATATATATATATATATATATATATATATATATATATATATACATATATATATATATATATATATATATATATATATATATATATATATATGTATATATATATATATATATATATATATATATATATATATATATATATGTATATATATATATATATATATATATATATATTATATATATATACATATATATATATATATATATATATATATATATATATATATATATGTATATATATATATATATATATATATATATATATATATACATATATATATATATATATATATATATATATATATATATATATATATATATATATATATACATACACACAAGATTGAAATAAAGAAATTATATATATATACATATATATATATATATATATATATATATATATATATATATATATATATATATATGTATATATATATATATATATATATATATATATATATATATATAATATATATATATATATATATATATATATATATAATATATATATATATATATATATATATATGCATATATACATATATACATGTATATATACATATATATATGTAAATATATATATGTATATATATGTATATATATATATATATATATATATATATATATATATATATATATATATATATAATTTCTTTATTTCAATCTCGCCGCATATATATATATACATATATATATATATATATATATATATATATATATATATATATATATATATATATATATATATGCGGCGAGATTGAAATAAAGAAATTATATATATATATATATATATATATATATTATATATATATATACACACACACACACACACACACACACACACACACACACACACATATATATATATATATATATATATATATATATATATATATATATATATATATATGTGTGTGTGTATATATATACATATATATATATATATATATATATATATATATATATATATATATATATATATATATATATAATATCAAAAGACACAAAAACAACAAACCAAAAACAGTCGATTTGAATCTGCTATGTTCATGTAGTGAAATTGAAAGATTCTATATGTTAACTGGAGAAATTTACCTCTTACGAACAACAACAACAACAAAAATGTAATAGCATTGTTACGGGTAAGAAAGGACAGGATTTTCCATAATACAAAAGGCATGGAGCTTATAAATGTTCCTTAGTATTTTTTTTATCCAACATCATTGTGACTAACGTAAAAGAAAAAAATAATAATAATAATAATGATAATAATGATAATAATAATAATGATAATAATAACAATAACTATAATAATAATAATAATAATGATAATGATAATAATAACAGTAATAATAATAATAATAACAATAATAATAATAATAATAATAATAATAATAATAATAGATAAATAAATAAATAAATGCATACTTAATTCATTTACCTAAAGATTTTCATTGTTAGAGTATGATGGAATGGAGATGGAGAAGGACTTGGAGGAAGAAAACCGAAGTCCATGTTTGATGGCCCAGGAAGATACTGATGATATTGCAGACCGAAGGAGATAGTGAAGAGTAGGTATGGATGGGCCAGAGGCGAAGATGGTTTAATCATCAACACATAGTGATAATGGGGCCCATGTGTTAGGAGGGAGTAGGAGGACAGATAACGGCAGTCACTTTGTGTGAAGAGGGAGTGGGAGTGAATAGATAGTTTCGAATATCTTCAAGAGTTTCTGCAATGAAGTTGTGGGGGCTTGAGAAATTAAGGTTTTCTTGTGAGAGGAGGGGGAGGAGACTGGTGTCTGAGTAGTGGGTAGAAGTGAAGTTGTGGTAGGAGAAAGGATGGAACGTTTGGACTATCTGCTGCGGTAAGGGGAAGTGTCAGGCATGCGAATTTGACTGGGAGATGTAGGGGGTAGAAGTGTAAATGTATGATGGAGGAGGATGTTGAAACAGCTTGGGAGGAAGGGGGAGGGGCATAGCGATCGACATTATCGAAGTAGGGAGTAAGAGAAAGACCTAATCGACATTCTTCCTGTCTGGTTTCGCATAGTAAGGCTAAGTCTGAATCTGAGAGTTGCCACTTAAGACTCAAACTTGTAGTTGGGCAGCCCCTATAAAATACATTATGGGAGCCGCCACAGCTGGCACATGTGCTTGACTTTGCAGAGTGGTTTGATCGATCATGATCAGGTTGGGCACATAGAGGGCTTTGGGCTGTGGAGCAGCAATGTTTAGCAAGTCGGCTTAGATGCCAACAATTCCGATATTGACAGTGGGACTGTTTATGACGGCCTCCAGGGGTATGGAGTAGCACTGGTCATGAGGAGGCGTGTAACTCTTCACAATCTGACCAATATTTGTCGTAGAGAGAACAGTTTGTTGGTGAGATGGAGACAGTTCCGGCAATGAGGGAAGGATGAGGTTGGGCAAGAATGGCTTTGCCTGTGGAAGTCTGTCAGGGTTGATAATGCTTTATCCTGGGTTTTAGTTGTAACTGTAACGAATCGAGAACAGTTGGGGGGCTGCGAAAGGAAACTTTGCCTTTGTGTTTATGGAGAAAAATCGATCCCATTTGGTTGGACTGAATAGAGTATTCAAGATGTTTGAAGAGATGGGGGTAGTAGAAGGATGAGAACGTGTGGAAGAGGGAGTAGTGCTGAGAGATAACAATAAGGCTGTAAAGTAAAATTAAGGGAGGATGGGGTAGTTGATGAAGAAAGCCGTAGGGGTGGAGTAGATGAAGCAGATGTTGGAAGAGGAGGAATGTCTCCTGGAGGTTGAGTATTGACCTGGGTGGATGATTTGAATTAGATATGTGATAGTAGGTATTGAGGAGGGGGTAGTAGTAGCAGGAGAGAGAGAACCGGGAGAATGTGAATCAGTGGGCCCTCAATCCCTTGCTCGTATTTATAGCGGAGGGGAGGGGAGGGGGGGGCTGAGACCTAATGTAGGGGATCACCCCTACTATGGACCTCAGCTCATGCCTTAATTTTGCTTGAGCTAGTCTTCTCCCCATTCCTATATCTTCTCTTCTTTTTCTGCCCATTCATCCTAACCGTTAATTCATTTTATCCTATTTGCCACAATACTTTACCATAGTACTATATGACCCTTGATGTCTAGCACATTTATTTGTCTTAGCCATTAACCATTGAATCAGTGGGGCCATTTGATAAAGGGGCAAGCTGCAGTGCCTCTAATAATGGCATAAAGTCTCCATTACTGGCCATGGTAAGCTTGAATAGGATGGGGAGAGAAACAGCTCACCTTTAGGGTCCCCAGGGGAATATCGTTCAACCCCCTGGCTGTTCATGACTGGCACAAAGTGAGCCTTTCATCCTCTCAACACGGCTCTCACACTTTAGGAAATTAATAGTATAAGGGGCTGGAGAAGAGAGGGAAACGAAAAAGGAAGGGTAAAAGACCGTGCAAAATTAGTTGAATCGAGGGCTGAGGCCCAAGGCAGGGGTGATCCCGAGCACTGAGTCTCAGTCTACATCTTCTAAGCCCCCCCCCCCCCCAACCACGACCACCACCACCACCACCACCACCACCACCACCACCACCACCACCACCACCACCACCACCACCACCACCACCACCACCACCACCACCACCACCACCACCACCACCACCACCACCACCACCACCACCACCACCACCACCACCACCACCACCACCACCACCACCACCACCACCACCACCACCACCACCACCACCACCACCACCACCACCACCACCACCACCACCACCACCACCACCACCACCACCACCACCACCACCACCACCACCACCACCACCACCACCACCACCACCACCACCACCACCACCACCACCACCACCACCACCACCACCACCACCACCACCACCACCACCACCACCACCACCACCACCACCACCACCACCACCACCACCACCACCACCACCACCACCACCACCACCACCACCACCACCACCACCACCACCACCACCACCACCACCACCACCACCACCACCACCACCACCACCACCACCACCACCACCACCACCACCACCACCACCACCACCACCACCACCACCACCACCACCACCACCACCACCACCACCACCACCACCACCACCACCACCACCACCACCACCACCACCACCACCACCACCACCACCACCACCACCACCACCACCACCACCACCACCACCACCACCACCACCACCACCACCACCACCACCACCACCACCACCACCACCACCACCACCACCACCACCACCACCACCACCACCACCACCACCACCACCACCACCACCACCACCACCACCACCACCACCACCACCACCACCACCACCACCACCACCACCACCACCACCACCACCACCACCACCACCACCACCACCACCACCACCACCACCACCACCACCACCACCACCACCACCACCACCACCACCACCACCACCACCACCACCACCACCACCACCACCACCACCACCACCACCACCACCACCACCACCACCACCACCACCACCACCACCACCACCACCACCACCACCACCACCACCACCACCACCACCACCACCACCACCACCACCACCACCACCACCACCACCACCACCACCACCACCACCACCACCACCACCACCACCACCACCACCACCACCACCACCACCACCACCACCACCACCACCACCACCACCACCACCACCACCACCACCACCACCACCACCACCACCACCACCACCACCACCACCACCACCACCACCACCACCACCACCACCACCACCACCACCACCACCACCACCACCACCACCACCACCACCACCACCACCACCACCACCACCACCACCACCACCACCACCACCACCACCACCCCCACCACCACCACCACCACCACCAAAACAAACAAAAAAAAGGAAAAAACTGTAGGAAAACACTCGAAGGATAGTCTCACCGTTACAGCTGTACTTCATGTAGACCCACAGAATCCTCCTCTGCGAGTTGCTGAGCGCCCCAAACCGACCGCCCTTGAGCCGGGAGTTGTAGATGTTGCCGGAGCCGCTTAAGAACTTCCCATTCTCGTACATGGTGAATCGCAGGAGCCCTATTTTGGGGCGGTGGATCACCTTCCAGTGGTAGAACGTGTTGGGCCTCCACGTCACGCTCGCGTCTTGCCAAAGGAGAGTGACCTAAGGGGAAGGGAGAGGCGAGGGGGAGATTGGATAAGGATGAGGAGGGAAAGAAAACGGGGCAGAGGGGGAGAGAGGGAGAGGGAGAGAGAGAGAGAGAGAGAAGGGGGGGGAGGGAGAGAGAGAGAGGAGAGGAGGGAAGGAGGGAGGAAGAGAGAGAGGGGAGAGGGAGAGAGGGAGGGAGGGAGAGGAAAATGTGTCTGAGATGAAAAGAGAGAGAGAGAGGAAATACTGAGACTGAAAGAGATGAATGATATATAGCTCGATATATAGCCTCCTGGTGGCCGATCGCAGTAACACAAAACGTGACAACTGGAGATTCTTCTGGCCAAATAAAGGCAGCAATTACCCAGGGGGCAGTTTTCCTGAAACTAATTTCCCTACAAAGCGACATTCAGATATATAGCATCAAATACATAAGGGAACATGTTAAAAAACAAATTATACAGAATACCCTTGTATAATGAGAAGCAGTGCATGCTCTGCGAAGGCAACTACGGTATAGACATTCAGATACAGGAATGTGGTACAGAAGGCTAATTGTCTTCTTCTGTAAACAAGGACAAGGCTTTAAATGGTACACCCACTTGATCTGCGACACTCGCGGTGTTATAGATCGCATACTGAAGATCGTTGCCTCCTGGTCCTGTGGCAGAGTCGACGAGCTTGAGATGAAGACCCTGATCGCTGACCGCAGGCGTGGCCAACTGCTGAGCTTCCTGTTTAAAATTCACCATGTAGAACCTGCGGTTGTCTTGGAAACTGTTGGGGAAGAGAGTCTTTAGCCTCTACTTTTTATTTTTAGCAGTATAATTACATACCTTTACTTCTGACAGAGAACTAGATACTGAAAACTAGATACTCTTAACCTGTATTGCCACTCCCCTCCAAATGTGAGGTGTAACATTTTTACATGTGTACTTTTAAGTTACTGTCGAGAATAATCGGTGATGAGGAGGAAAATGTCGTCTATCATTCGCCCGACGTAATTTGCGGTAGATTTGTCAATTTCCTACTTATAAAGAATTTTGTTGTTGAAATATACATTAATTTTGCACTTCTCAGGGGTATGATAAGTGAAAACGGTAAAAAGAAACATCCTGCCAGAATATGTAAATCCTGAAGAAACTAAACAGAGAAAAAAACAGACCCTAAATACAGAAGAGAATATACCAAACAGAAAAAAGGAGCCTGGAAGCTGAAGATAAAAGTCATCAGATAATACAAGCGAAACTACCTCGCAGAGACTAGGTTCTGAAGACAGACCTTGATTTGAAAAGCAGACCTTTGAGAGAAAAGAAAAAGTAAAATTGACAAAAAAGCAGACACTGAAGAACAAGGGAGAAACTTCTATCTGAAGAATTCTACCCCTGGAAACGAAAGGGAAACAAAAGACATATTTCGTAGCAGGGAAAAAGATGGCTTTAGTGACAGACACGAGAAAACCCACCAGGCAGAAGAATAAGATTTTGAAAATGAATGAAGAGAGAATACCTGAAAGCAAATCCAACGAAGTCATCATCAGTGCTCTCAATCGTAAAGGTTCCTTCGAAGTCAACGCTGCCAAGACTCACATCACCTGGCAATATTCAAGGATTAAATTGTAGGGGGTACATGACGTGTGGTGAATGGTCTGAATAAAAGTGGTGGTGTAGGAGCAAGGGGCTTCAGCAACGCCTGGGACTGTGGCTGTCATAGATATTAGTCCATGATTGGTTCATGCACACCTAATGACACTATATTTAATCAAAACAAATGGGAATGTTGTAGTAGTGATTTTAAGGTTGAAAAAATGAAATTTATAGTTTGTCAATATGTGTCAATATGTGCACTCGGCTGTAAACTAAGGCGCCTTAAGATGCGGCGCCATAACGCGTTGGGTATCCGCCCCTAGGATGTTTCAAGGAGAGGCTGCATGTATAATTAGAAGGTGCCAGGCAGTGACAGTATCAAGCCGTAAGCTAGAGGGTCTCAAGAGAGCAGAGGGCTTTAGATAAACCATATTCAAGTTCTTGCCAAAATTATTCTTACATTTCTGAATGTAGTGTCCTACTCTCGTGAAGAATTTATCTCACCAAGGCCCCAGTACTTAACCATATAGCAATTCACGGCTTCACTTGTTTGCATCAACCCTCTATTTTTTCCTTTTCTATCATTGGTATTACTCTTAGAATTTATTGTGCGATTTATTATACTGGTTAGTTTTTACTCAATTTGCAGAATCGGTTCTAAAAACAGTTCCTATAGTCCACATTTTCCCTCCCTTTTTATGGTCTGACCAATGTTGGCCATACATACCGATGGCAGCAGATGTCTCTCCTTCTTCTCTTTGGTAGAACCCTGTCCTTCCAGGTAAGAAATACCAGTTGGGTGTATGATAAGGTTCTTCCAAGGGAACCACCATCACTCTTCTGAAATGGAAAAGGTCAGGAGCCTAAAGGATACCATAGGCATAAAAAACACTAGGATTAAAACTGTTCCTCCTCAGCAAACGGAACAAAAGAGTTAGAAAGATTTACTTGAATTCTGTAGTGAAGACCTGGGCGTTCTTTGGGCAGTTGTCGCCGCCATCAGGGACACCATCTTTATCATAGTCACCTTCGCAGTCATCACCAATCCCATCTCCATCAGAATCGGTCTGACTGCCGTTGGGGACAAGAGGACAGTTGTCATTGGTGTTGAGAATGCCATCGCCATCGGCATCAGTGTCACACGCATCGCCACTGCCATCAGTGTCACTGTCTTTTTGGTCACTGTTGGCTATGTTTGGGCAGTTGTCCAAGTCATCTTGGAAGCCATCACTGCCAAATGCAATTCTAAAGATTAATATGAAGTGCAGCATGATGCATTCTACATATAAGAGTACCAGGGATAAGCTATGTACATCATCCCCCTCCCTTTAGCATCAAGATTACAATAGCAGTATTGCAAATGACACAAACACAAGTATACCATGTATACACCTAACACAACAGGACACTATGCATGGACACAGCTATGCCTTGCTTGGTTTCGGGTCTTTGGTATACTGTTGCAACAACTGACCTGTCTGTGTCTGTGTCAGTGTCACAGACATCACCAACAAAGTCCTGGTCTGTATCAGCCTGGTCGGCGTTGCTACTTGAAGGGCAGTTGTCACATGCGTCGCCCACTCCATCACCATCACTGTCCAGTTGGTCAATATTGACAACGTCTGGGCAGTTGTCACCTCCATTGGCAAGACCTGTTTTAGGCAAAGGGATTCGCTTTATTTTTCCTATTATGATAATTATTTATATGACAATGATATTCATATGATAATTATTTATATAGTTCTGTTAATATTTTTATTAAAAGGATTCTTTACTTCCTTGAGAAACAGCATTTTAAGATCTGGGAGAGATTTGACCACTCTAAGAGCTGTCTAGTTATTATTGCTATTGTTAATATTATAATTTATAATGCTACAACCCGTGCCACATTGTCACAGTTATGGTTATTATCATTACTGTTGTCAATAGGACTATTCCCATTATCACTCTTACTACTAAAACAACTTTTATAACAATCCCTCTTATTCTCCTTATTTTCATACATATGGTAACTGTTACCATCTTCATCTATATCCGTGTCACATTCGTCGCCAAGACCGTCACCATCAGCGTCACGCTGCGTCAGATTGGGCGTTGAGGGACAGTTGTCACAGGCATCACCATGTTGGTCTGAATCGCTGTCTGCTTGGTCATTGTTCATCACCGTCGGGCAGTTATCCTACAGGTGATTGATGGGAACAGTGATTATCTTGAATCATTATAAATTTACCAGGTAGCTGTGTTTCAGATGTATAACCATGCCTCACTATTACACAAGAAGTATCCTGCTGCAATCGACAAAGGACAAAAATGTGAAAAGGTGGATATGGAAGAAATTGAAAACAGAAATAATGTAAGGACAATTTGTAATCCCAAATTAGATGCTCCTTACAAATTCTATGCTCCTCCCATCACCGTCGATATCGAAATCGCAAGCATCACCAACATCATCCCCGTCGGCGTCGAGTTGTTCTGGATTGTAGATGTCGATGCAGTTGTCTGGACGGCAGCGCACGTCGACGCACCCCAGGTCCGCGTCGGGCCTTCCATCCATGTCCCTGTCGGGGCCGCACGTGATGCCGTCACCGGCCTCTCCTTTTGGACACTGTCAAAAGCACGGATAAGTGTACACATCTAACACAGGCACAGCATCGGGGTTATGGTACGTACACCACAAAACCTATAACGAGAACATTATATGTAACACACTTTGCCTTTTTCCTGCTCACTGAAGCATTCTGGGAAACCATACCAAAGGCTGCAGCAGCGACCAAGACGGGTGTGCTTCGCAGGTGTAGAAAGGCGCCGTGAGCATGTGGTTACAGAACTTTCCCTCAGGACATGGTGTGCCTTGACATGGGTCTGTAAATGCGCTTGATTTAGGGGAAACTCTTCCCTATCCTTTATCTATGTTGTTTTCTACTTAAAATATCAACTGCAAGTCTAATTGCAAATGCGTTTCTTAAAAGTAATGACCAGACTCAACAAGAGAAATTTCATAGTCTTTGTTAATTAATTCTTAAGATTCACATCCAGCATACTTACTAATACAATTGGTGCCATCCCCATCATAGCCTGGTTGACACGTGCATGTATGGCTTGTGTCAATGACAGTACAATCTGCGTGGCTGTGGCAATCCCAGCACGGCGGATACATAGTCCACTCTTCAATTTCCACCAGAGCTTGTTGTGATGCTGACAACCCATCGTACATCTCCTGGGGAACCTTATCTGTCACGATAAATTATAAGTTATTATAATTTTCAGGATGAATAGGAACCTGTTACAAATATAGATAGTACAGAACAGAGAGACAGACAAACAGAAAGAAACCATAAGGGTATCACGTAAATCATTCTCAAAGTGTTTAATTGAATAATCCGGTCATATTGGAAAACTGACACAAATCAAAAGAATGTTCATTTGGGATTCAAGACTGAAAGCTACCATGGAGAGTTTTTTTCATAGAAACAAAGCTTCGCGTGTCTTAGAGAACTTACGATGGCTGTGATGTAGTTCTTCGACGTTTCATTTATGGAAAAGCAGTTAGTGGTGGGATTTCTTTCATAAACATCCATAGTTAGCATGAGACAATGCCTCTTCTCATTGAAGCACAAAGCAAATTTAGGGCCTTCCAACATTAAAACGAACATTATCCTTTGGCTTATGTGCTCGTTACCCCTTCTCAGAAATTTCTAGCTGTATATCTTCCAATTATTACCCTTGAGCATCCTAATGAAGGCCTAGCTGAAGGACTCACTGACTCACTGTTAGCTGGAGCCCAGTACACAGCTCAGAAGACTTCAGCCTGCGATAGCTTGTTTTTCTGAAGCATAGTATCTAAACTGTCATATATGATCGTTTGTCCGGTAAAGGGTTAAAACAAAAAAAACTATTTTAATGGAAGGAATATCCTTTGACATGGTATGAAAAGGGAATAATTCGCCTAGACACGCACTGTGTTTAAACTTTTATTCAATGAAAGTTGGCAAGCAAGGTTTAGACATAGGAGCAACATCTGGATCGAAAATAAAAGGTCACTTCTGTATCCTAAATTCCAAACATTCCCAATAAAACAGCAAACACTACCAACCGTTGCATCTGTACTTAATATTTGCCCAGGTGATTGCCGGCATCGCCTGGCAGAACGGACCAAACCGCCCTCCCCGCAACACGTCGTTGTAGATGTTGCCAGAATCCGCGAGCAAAGTAGGGCCTGTGCTGAGGAAGACGCGGATGGTGCCAATCAGAGGACGATGGAGGACCTTTAAGCGGTAAAGGAGCTTTGTCGACCAAGGAAAGGTATTGTGCCAGAGGAGTTCCGTCTGGAAAAAAAAGTTTAACGTTACAAGGACGAAGAGAGGGAGGAGGCAGGCAGAGAAAGAGAAGAGAGGAGGACAAGAAGAGAGAGGAGGACGAGAGGAAAGAGAAGGGAAGAGGGGACAAGATGAAAGAGAAGGGAAGGGAGGAGGACAAGAAGAAACAGAGAGAAGAGTGTTAATTATTTATTTGTTTTGTGTGAGGATAGAAATTTTATGTGAGTTTCTTAATTGCGTTGATGCGATCAGTTTTTGACACGATTTTTTTCCCTTGGGATTACAACAGACAAACAAATTTGATGCAAGTTTCAAGGATCAAGCTCAATATATTCCATGAAATCACTGAAATCATATAATGGAAGCGTCTAACTCCCCTGGAATTTCAGTTTCTGGTAACGACTTCTTTTCCTTTTCATTATTGCCGGACAGATCTTTTGTAAATTCTAAAACAAGGATAGATAAGTGCCAATAAAAAACAAAACAATAACATTGATAATAACAACGAATATAATCATAATAATAATAATTTACCAATCTATAGCCGTGAGTTCAACTGACAGTTGGTAAAAGTTGATATAAAAGTTGATATAAAAGAGTAGCCTAGCCTTGCGAATACTGCCCAGTCAGGGGGCCTGTGCTCCCCTGAACCTCCCCTGGACCTCCCCAGGGGAACACAACACATCTCTTACACATTGAAATGTTTAAGAGATTATTAAGTGATCATTTACGACAGATATTTTTTTTTTTTATTAAGAGACGGGAATTCAGTTATTAATAGGAGAAAAAGTACCTGCCTTGCTAATTTACTTCCCTCCCTCCCCCATGACCTTTTTAAGTAACCGACCAGTTGATTACCCCCCCCCCCCATGACCTTTTTTCAAATGACCCACCAGTTCTGATTTTCCTGGTTAAAACAGCTAGGTGTAGGCCTAAAGAATCCTTCGTAAATGTTATGCTTCGTAGCCATTTTAAAGGGATACAGACCCTTTACTAAACAGCATTTTAGCCAATGCTAGCATATCCATTAACAGCGCCAGATTTGGGGCTTTGTAGGCCTACATTTACGGACTTCATTGGATGTACGTTTAAGCGGTCTTGGACTTGCCTCGGCGGTGGTATTCTAGAAGGTTTATTTGACTGCATGCGTTGCTAAGTTACATGACTTTTTCTGGGCTGGCAACATTTCACAAAATGGTAATGGTTCGTATTTTAGCATTAACAGATAACTAAAGAAGGTACTCATCCTATGTTTTGCAGCATGATAATATGCAAATAACCAAGCATAATAAACAAAATCAAACAATTTGAAAAGTTAGGTTTGGAGGGACTTGATTTAATCCAACAGGCTCAGTTTTTTTGTTGTTGTTGTTCTTATATACATTTTTTTCATTGCCATTTCATTTGTCCATACTTTTTGAACAAATGTTCCAATGAACTCTCAATGGACACAATAAAGGTTTACTTAGAGTATCACTGCAAGGCTGACGAGTCACGAGTCCTAATCAAGCCAGAAATAGATCAGCTGGAAAGAGGACCTAGGAAGTATCATGAAATGTTTGGCAAATGAAGCTTCTGGGAAGGTTACGGCTATAGTTTACGGATGATCTGCTTACTCACGGTAAACGACTTAATACGAGGATCGCATTTTCGGATTAAAAAAAAAAAAGAAAAAAAAGAAAAAATGCTACCCCTAAATGGTCTATCATCGAGGGAAGTAAAGGTAATCACGTCAAAGCGGTTTTCATTATGGGGGCGTGTGTAAAACTGTCGAGGTTGTGTTTACGTATGTCTTTATACGTGTGTGTGTGTGTGTGTGTGTGTGTGTGTGTGTGTGTGTGTGTGTGTGTGTGTGTGTGTGTGTACGTGCGTGCGTGCGCGTGTGTAATATGTGTATATATATACTGTGTGTATGTGTATATAAATATTTATGTATGTATATATGTGTATTTATATGTATATATGTAATGTATATATGTATTTATGTATGTGTATATATATGCATATGTATATAAATGTATATGCATATATTTATTTATTTATATATATATATATATATATATATATATATATATATGTATATATATATATATATATATATATATGTATATATATATATATATATATATATATATATATATATATATATCCATCCCATATATATGCATATAAATATATGTATATATATATGTATGTATACAGGTGTGTGTATGTATATATGTATGTATATATGTGTCTGTGAGTATATCTATATATATGTATACATATATATATATATATATATATATATATATATATATATATATATGTATGTATGTATATATATGTATATATAAATATATGTGTGTGTACGTATATATATGTATATATATATACATATGTATATATTCATATGTATATATAAATATATGTGTATATGTATATATATGTATATATAAATATACGTCTGTAGTTATGATAAATGAACAGATAGACACATTTATATACACACAAAGCAATACAGTCTTTACTGCCACAGCCTCGTACATGGCCAGCCACAGAAGGAGTGTCAAAGAGAGCTGTCTTGAGACGTTTGCTGGGGCCATCTGGACTCGTGACCAGCTTTAGGTGAATTCCCATTTCGCCGTAAGAACTGTAGCCGCCTGAACTGTAGGATTCACTCTGTTGCTTCCACGTCACCACATAGAACCCGGAATAACTGTGAAAACTGAATGGAGAAAGGTGATGGGTTACAGCAGTAATGGTGGTGGCGTGATCATTATGAAATTAATATGACAAAAGTAAAGATAAAAAACTCACGTAATGAAAACCTTACCTGAAAACAACTCCCATGAAGTCGTTATCAACATCGTCCGTGGTGCCAATAGTCGTTTCGAGATCCAGGCCGCTGATCCTGACATATCCTAAAACAAAGGAAGGAAACGAACGAAGTCGCTTAAACCACTAATATGTAAACAACCAAAGCTCAGCAACTTTGACTAACTGCAATTAAATGTGTCTCGGTAGCAGCATTTTTTTCGAAATTGATAAAATAAGAAGATACTGAAAAGTGAAGCATTAGTTTTGATAAAAATTACCATTATTATTGCTACTATCTTTTATTATTTCATTATAGATCATACGAGTATTGTCCCTATCATTTTTACTAGGCATTGTCATTGATATTAGATGCTAAATTAATTGCATCACTTCTTGCTATCACCATCACCATCATCACTGGTGTTACAATTCCATTTCCTTTTGACACTACATACCATACACCACACATGAAACACTAAACATGATATGCCATACATGTTCACCATACACCAACCACCGCACACCATACACTACAAACCATACTCAATACGTACTGCATACATACCATACACCAGACATCATACGCATCACACCATCTGCTACACACCATACATCATCACCCTTGATATGCCAAAACCCAGGGAACTTAAAGGAACCACCATACACCACCCGTGCTATGCTAAAATACAGACGCCTTTAAGAAAAAAATACAGCTACCACATGCCAAAGTCGCCATATAGCAAGTACCATACAACATCCGCGGTATACCTAAAACCAGGCACCTTATAGCATACACCACACACCACACACGATACGCCAAACACCATATAGCATACACAATCTCCGATATACCAAACACTATACACCACACGCGATATACCGGACATCACACCGATGCGCCAAGCACCATACACCAGTCATAGAGCAAACCCCACACACGATACACCATACAACAGCCACCATAGAGCAAATACACACACGATACACCATGCACCATACGCCAGGCACCATACGCCAGGCACCATACGCCAGGCACCATCCCCTCACCTAAAGCCACCGCTGGGTCAGATTCCA